CACAGTTCTGAGTCGATCCCCTCCGGACGCTTTGAACCTTTGTAGTTACGTACAATCCGGTGACCATCCCAATGATGTCCATCTGGAATAATTTCACCTTTGGGGGTCAATTTGAGATCTGGAAATACGGGCGCTTCGGGTGCATCAGGCTCGACATCGCTGTCGGCTGGTAGAGGCGTACCTGGCTCGTATTCATACTCATCTTGTGGCGGATGCAAACTGGACTCAAGAGGCACAGCTTTGGGTGTCTTCGGAATGACCTGGTCCTCGAGGCGATCGGCTTTGGGTGCTTTCGAGTCAATCAGAGCTTTCAAAGGAAAGATGAAACCCTCGGATGGCAATTCCAACCTCTTTGTTCTTTGGATTGTCAGTGCACCCCAGTTGACATGATAATCTGCGGCTTCCAACTTGGCAACTAAGTATTCACCCTTCCAATCATGACCTGGTTGGATGTAATACCCAAGGAAAATTCCTTCATTTGCTGTTGGGGAGAGCTTACCTGATGTGTTATCCAACCTCTTGGGGTTATTCCAGAACAACACTTTGGCACCAAATGGAATGTGCATTGCAGGGAACTCTTCACCAAACCTGAGTTGCCATGGGGATTCACTGCCGTCAAGCTGGGGGCTTGCATTGATCGCGGTCGCGTGATGCTGCATGGCCAAGGGCCACATCTTCAAAGGAAGTCCTGATTGCAACAAGTTGCTCCGGGCACCTTCCAACATCTGACGAACTTCGCGCTCAGCAAAAGACTTTGATGAATCTACATATTCAATGGAAGTTTGGTGTCTGTAACCCAAATCCTTGATGGCCCTGATCAATTCTGGGGAATTGTCAGTATACACAACTTGAACATCATCCTTTGATCCAATGAAGTGATTCAAACCATCAACACAACTTTGTGAATCCTTGGATTGGCTAGGGTAGACATACCGATATTGAGTGTGCAGATCTTTCAACACCAACGCAACTTGCTCCCCCCTGAAACCCTCTTCTACGTTTTTCTTGATGATGACATGATCCCCAATGACGTGGTCACCAAACACTTCAGTTTCGATTCTCTTCTGACCACCTTTCTTTCGTGCCTGAGGTGCCATCATCCTTGCTCGTTGGCAGGTTCTGCAAAAGGGGTTCTTGGGGAAATGCGTGTACTGATGTTGGGTACTTGCAGCTTCAGCCAACAGATCCTCAGTCTTGCGGCTTCGGATGTACTCCTGCTGAGCGTCATCCTCCACCAGCTCGTCCAATTGCTCTTCATCTTGGGCTTCGTCCCGCTTGGCTTTCGAGCTCGACCGTGAGGTCGGCATTGCAAACAACTTTTTGAGGTGCTTATCCTTTTGAAATTGATCTTTGGGATAAACCTTGCAACTATCATCCAAGATTGGGACATGACCTTCGATCTTGAGCTGGACGACCTTGTCATCTGGACGGACTAAGATTGGTTTGCCATTGGCAGGCCATACGAAACTGTAACCCTGATCTACACATCTCGTTCCTACGGAGAGCACAGCTGGGGTATGATCAAGTACATACGGATGCACAGGATCTGGCAATGCGGACAACTTGACGTCAGCAACCTCATTGGCCTCAGTCGAACCGTTGGCTGTGACTAAGGAAATCGGATGCTCGGTTGCACGGCAGTTCTTGGCGCTAACGTCCCTCAACATACCCTTGGACACAAGATCGGATTCACTACCTGAGTCGACAAGCCAACTAACGCCGGCCTTTGGCGCGGCTGTGGCAATTGACGGGAAGCGACCAATGTCTCTAAGAGCTTTGGGACCGCTAATGAACCTGCACTCTTTGCATGTGATGTCACGTGTGTCCTCATTCCAACAACAAAACCCACAACTAGGTGCAACATCTGAATCATGAAGTTTCACAGTTTCCTGAAGCTGTCTTGCACGAACCTGAGCCTCATGTTGTTCAACCTTGGATGAAACTGGAACGTCTTCAGCTGTCTTGTACACCTTAGTGAACTCTCTTGGACGGTGCTTGACTGGGACTTGATGACCAACTGCTTTCACCTCGATCACATGTGGGGCCTTTCGGAATCTAAGACGCTTCATGCTGACACTTGACTCATCAGAGCACGAAGTTGCCTTCGGCTGTTTTCGGACGATGCATGCAAACTTCTGGATCAGGCATGGAGCGGCTGTGGAATCCTTGCTCTTCTTCTTGGGAGCAGGTGAATTGGCCCTTTTGGTGTCTTTGGTGGCGGCAGCAGCTTTGTCATCATGCTTATAAAAACATTTGTCACCACGTCTGCACTTTCCCTGGGCGTGATAGATACATGGGGTTTTGGCCATTTCTTCCTTGGACATTTTCTTCCCCTTATCATCTTTGTTGCCCCTTGATGGTGAACGTGTCTTGGTTCTTCTGGGTGATTGAGTTCGAGATTTATCATCCTTGACATGCTTAAATGGACACTTCTTCCCCTTATCACAGGTGCCCTTTTGGAACTTATAGCAAATCTTGTCACCTTTGCCACCTCGTTCCTGCGATCTACCACGACTTGGGGAGCCCTTTCGGCCACCGCGACCATCGCCTTTGGCGGGTGCGGCCTTCGTGTCCTTGATCCCAGCCTTGTTCTTCTCCGCGATGCGGTTCCTGTTCTCCCTTAATCGTTCACGGTCGATCAAGTTCTTCATGGATTGGTGAAGAAAACTATAAGACTTTTCATGGGATTTCTCATGTGCACGATCAAACATCTCGATGTCATATTTCAGCAACTGACTTGGACGGATCTGCCTCAACAAGATGTCCCTTAACACAGCATCATCGGGGGTGACAGCCATGCCAGCTAGGGTAGCATCCCATTTGTTGATGAATCTTCTGAGATCCTGGACAGTATCGCCTACTTTGACAACACCCAAAAGATCTTCTACTCTGTAAAGGCTACCTGCTTCTTCTGATGTCTTGAAGTAGTCCTCGAACATGAGCAGAACATACCTTCCCCTGACCTGGATGCCTTTTCGGGATTGCTGCTCTTTGAAATTCAGGATCCTAGTTGCGAGGTCCCCTCCGGCTGAGCGTGTGAGCGCTGCTGATAACTTTGTATCCAGCGTGAGGAACTTTCCAGGATCTTGGAGTTTCTTCTCCAACTGCTCTCTGGTGCACTCTTGATCATACACCTCATTGAGCCAGAGCCATGCCTCATCCGGGCGATCTGAACAGCTTTTCACTTCATCCCTGACATGATTTTTCCAAGTCCTATACGACTCCGGAGCGGGCATGTTGTTCAGCTTGATGATTTCGGCCTCCTTAGTTTTTGGCTTATCCTTTTCTTCCCTTTGGGTTAAGGCTTTTACCAATTCAATAAGATCTGAGGGACCCATCACTTGCTGTTGCTTGGTTACGCTCTTAGGAGAGTCATTTGGGGGAGTTTTGATAGCTTCAGTGGGAGTGAAAAACCCTGACTGCGTTGGCAATTGGGGCTGGTCGTTGCCGACAGCCGGCTTTTGCTTGGGACTGCCACCTTTGAGCAGCTCGTCCAACTTGGCCTTTGCTTCTTGTGCCAACACTGCAGGCGTTTTCAACTCATGAATCGGCTCATCACTGCCTTTGGCAGCCTGTGCATCGGATGCTTTGGGAGTGGCAATATTGAAGTGGGGCACGCTAGTGGTAGCGGCCGGCTCAGCGTTCTGGACGGATGCTTTCGGAACGGAGGCATGCTGCGCTTTGGCAACATGCTTTAACTGCTCCTGAAGGTCATCGATTTGGTCCTGAAGGCTAAGGTTCTGAGCCGCTGCCTCGTTGATCTTATCGGCCATCTCCTTCTTGTAGTTCTCGAACTCGGTCCTCAAACTGATGAGCCTGGCCTGATCAATTGCAGCCTGATCTTCATATTGCTTCTTTGTGGCAGCTATGGCATTCTTAGCATGTTCAACGGTCTGTGCATAGGAAGCTTCGAATTCACTAGTGATACGTTGCCTTTCCTCTGCAATTTTCTGATCATGCTTTGTGTTTGCCTCTACCTTGAAATCCTCTACTCTCTTGTCATGCGATGCCTGAGCCTGATTTAACCTGACCTCTAACTCGTCGCCTCGTTTCCTTTCCTCGTTGACGGCACTGATGGCCTTACCTTCAACCTCCTGCAACCTTTGCTCATACTCCTGCTCCTGCATTACGAGCCTACTTGACCATTCGTTTCGAATTGCGTCAACTACTCCATGCATTATCTGAAGGTGCCTCTGTTCAGCTTCCCTCATGACTTGCAGGGTGTTCCCGCTGGTGATTTGGGAAAGGTTGTTTTGTATGAAGGTGAAGTACGCTACAACGGGTTGGAACATTGTTTCGTCATCCATCGGCTCGGGGTTGCCCCCGGCCACATTGGGCACAGCGACAGCCGATGGACCTGACCCTGGAACGGCGAGAGGAAGGTCGGTTGGGGTCCCCATAGCAAAGTAGTGAGACTACGGCTGATAACCTGTATTTTACCAGGTCAACCGACAATGGGGTAAAATCCGCTAAGCTGCTAGCACTTTTGAACCAACGCTACAGAGTAGTACGATGATATGCACACTACATGGTTTTACTGCAGGAGTTTTTACAGTTACATAGCTATTGAACATGGCCATAGAAATAGTGGATTTTCCCATTAAAAATGGTGGATCTTTCCATAGTTTTTTGTATGTTTACCAGGCCGGGTAGGTCATTTTCACCTCTTTATTTACTCAATTTACCCCCCTTTTCGCTTTGGGTGTTTGGACCACATGGTGGATTTCCAAGGTCCAGGTTTACCAGGTCCACCAGGTCTGCCATGACCCCGAAAATGAATAGATTCAGTACGAAACCAGAGGTGTCTGGGAGCTATTTCATATTAATGTATATTAATGTGGAATGTGGGTAAAACAATGGTACAAACCGCCCATGACTGGGAATGGTTTATACAGTACCACCTATTTTTAAATGGTGTTCTGACTGGGGGATGGTGCAAATGACATTGTTTTACCCACATTATCAGCTTCATAGATGATGTATAAACTGTCTGCGCCGAGGAAGGAAACTTTGACGCCTTCGTCATGGCCAAGGGCATCAAGGCAGATGACATTGAGGCCCTGTTGAGTGGAAACCTGAAGTTGGATGAGGACGGGATTCCGCCATGGATCCTGGTTCTGATGGGGAACGGGGTGAGATTCGAAGAAAGTCTGAGGTGATTTTGGATCCTTCTGAGTTCGACACTGTCCTATTTTTGAAGGATGTAGTTGAGTGACCTTCATGAGTTGACTAAGGTCACCCTTGGTGCTTCGAATGCTGGTTAAGAGAGATCGATGATTGTTCTGCATTGAGTCGATTGCCTCTACCCTCTGGTAAACTAACGTAGCTATTGAAAATGGCCATTTACAGTGAGTTTTCCCATTAAACATGGTGATTTTCCATAGTTATGTTAGTTTACTAGAGGGTACTTTCAATATCTTTCAATAATCTTGAAGCTACTGGGTGGCGTTTGGGAGACAGTCGGACTCCAATTCGTCCTACCTTCGGCCATGAGCTTTGAGGAACTTTGGTCGGCGGTGTGTGAATTTATACATTGGAGCAGGTTCGTAAAGATCTTCAACTTCATTTGGATATAACGTTTAGATTTTAGATACATATGGGTATGGATCAATACCTATTAATACAATTTTTAATGGGATGAACATCCATTTACCAGCTATTTTGATGTGAACAGAAGGGGTACAAGGTTTTGACACACTGCCATATGACAACAATTTATACCCTTACAGATATGGCCATGTCTTGTTTTCGCCATATGACTTTCCAACCTTCCCCAGGAGGAAGAGGGCGAAGAGGGTGCGGAGGAGAAGAAGGTGGCCGTTCAAGCGCCCATCGCCGGTCCTCCCAAGTGACCTGGCTCCGATTCCTCCCTGTTTTTTGGGATTTCAGGGGGGTTTACCCTCTGGTAAACATACAACAAACTATGGAAAATCACCATCTTTAGTAGGTAAATCAACTATTTCTATGGGCCATTTTCAATAGCTATGATAAATTACCAGAGCGTACATCAATCCATTTTTCATAAAGATTTTCATATTTGGATTCTCAGGGTATGGGATGGATATTATGGCCTCTAAATTTGTTGTAAAATCCATAGAGTTTCATCAGATTAATACGTTTTTTTGTTGCTTCGAACTTCGATCCCTAGTTTTCGTTGGTGAAATCAATTCAATCCCTCAAAAATGGGTGCTTCACCTTCCCTCTTTTGGATTCCAGTTGTTCATATAAAACATACTGTACCACTTTACTATTTACATTTAGTGGCCCTCTGGTTATTCAGCACAGCCACGGAACATGGCCCATAGAAATGGATGATTTATGATCTACTTCGCTGAAACATGCTGAAATTTCAGGTAAATCATCGGAATTTACCATAATTTGCCTATGAATTCTTCATATTTACCCCATTAAAATGGTGATTTTCCATCTCCAACACCCGGGCCCAGGATCAGCTTCCCCATTCCCGGCTCCGTGGAGGGTGTGAAGTCCAGCTCTAAGGTCGGGGCCAGCTCCAGAGGGTGCTTTCCCATGATCATTCCATAGAGTATCTATACTTAATGGTGATGAATGTTATATTAAGTGATGGATATATCATGGATATATAAGTTGGATGATATATTAATAAGTGATGATATTCCATGGTGATTTTTATAAGTTGGAAAATGGAGTTGGATTAAAAATTCACCTTTTTTAGTATAGATATTTATCTACCAACTGAGCGCTTCCGAAACAATGGGAGTTATGTTCACCAACTTCGTGATTCCGAAGATAAACTGGGCCCAGTTGTGATGCAGGTTAGTTGGACTTTTGAGGCCACGATTTTGCAGTTTTTTTTGTTTTTTTTGAATGAGAGGATGTGAATTTTTGACCATGATACACCATGGTTTTACTGGGTTTCGTGTTTTTTTTCTTTTTTCTGGCCAAATGCATCCAAATGCTAGATTAACATGGACAGATCATCTCCTACAGGGGTTATTGTTCAAAAAGGAAGCGACAACGGATGCTTTAAGACGTAGCTGAAGTCAACCAAACCAATCATAAGCTTGTTGGGTCACAAGGATTTGTAATCCAGCATGATCCGACTAAACCAAGTGATGCGAGGGAGGTTTTTGAGTAACTTCACCAGGCTGTGATCGAGTTCAAGAACCTCTCCTTCCGCTATGGCAAGGCCGGAGATGCGAACAGAAACCAATGGGTTTAAATGCAGCTGGTATGGAAGCCAAAAATCTTTCATGTTAGTAAAGCAATAATATACCATCCATATTTTGATGGTGTATACGGTCCGGCACACCATCAAAATATAGTAAATTTGGGGATGGTGGATCCTTTTGCTTTACTAACATTACAAAGTCTGTTTTTCAGCACAAGCTGAAGTGTTGCGTCAGTGCCTCTCCTGCAGCGTCGGTAGGACAAGGACTACCTCATTTCAGATGTTGCCGGCAAGCTGTCGCTGGGATCTCGAGTTGCGATGCTTGGCAGATGCGGTTTTCCCAAGGGGGAAAACCTTGAGGCAGACTCGAGAACTGCTTGCTCGTAAACCGGAGACTTCACATATTTGCCATCTCAGACTTGGCAGGTGTGGGATGGAAAGTCGAGAACTGGTTGTTTCATGCTTCCCCCAAATCATTTGGTTTTCATTGCTGAAACAGACCCCGCTGCATTTTTCTTTGGTGCGTGTGCAGGTTCTAGCTGAACCCATTTGAGAAACAGCCCCAAACGCCGTGGCGATTCAGCACACCCTGGTATTTGGAGTATTCTATTAACTGATCCTAGATTTTTCACGGACCCAAGACATGGCAATTTTCATATAAACAATTAAACAACATACATATATAGACAAATACAGAAAGAGACAAATTAAACAATTAGATAAATCAGTACATGACATATATATATATAGAAAAACACGTAAATATATATATATATATACAGTAATACTATAGATAACATAGATAATATCCCAATCCCGAACCACCGAACCAACGGATCACCCGGATCAGGATCTGTGGCCGCAACGGTTGCGGCAAGTCGACCCTGATGACGTTGATCTGTAGCGAGATGAACCCCACTGAGAACAAGGTGGATCGATTTTTTTTTGGGTCGAACGTTTTGAGCCGAACGAATTTGATTGCGGGGGACTTGAAAAGTATGATATATATTTATATATGTACATATATATATATACATATACATAGATGTATAGAAACATTTTTCGAAACATCTATGATTATTTGGGACATGTTGATAGTTTGGGGACATACGATACTTTTATTTGGGAATATTTTTTCACAATCCGGATTCTTCAACATGTTAAACATGCATTATTTCTATGTGGTTTTGTAGTCTGAATACACTTCTGAATAGTCACCAGAATGACAGTCACGACCTCGTGTCACCACGTCGTCTGACGTGAATGGATAGTGATGGGTATAGAGATCCCTAAATAACCTGATGTCAGGTTGGTGATCATTACAATTTAGCCAGAATAATGCCCATAGGGTGATGTTTATAAAGGAAGAATGAGGAACCCTGTTGTTCACTGTTATCTGAGTCTGGATCTATGGAGGCAAGCTGGCCCGTTGGCTATGCATCCCCGTAAGTGGCTACTGAGCCCTGTAACACTGTAGTACTGGTGCAAAAAAAAACATGTATTACTGTATAACTGGCGTGTAGTACAAGGTGGTGCCTCCAGTTATAAATGGCTTATAAGCCCATCAACTATAGATATATTATATACCTATAAATGGCTTATAAGCCCATTAACTATAGATATATTATATACCTATAAATGGCTTATAAGCCCATTAACTATAGATATATTATATACCTAGAAATGGCTTATAAGCCCATTAACTATAGATATATTATATACCTAGAAATGGCTTATAAGCCCATTAACTATAGATAGATAGATATATATATATATATAGATATATATATATATTACCTGGTAATTCCCTATAAACCAAAGTTATTTGAGTGCTAAGTCCCTGGGATCATCCCCTGTCCGCGAGGATGGCAAGCTGGGAGAGATTACCAGGCACTGCAATCTGCGTGTCACTTGGCCAAAAAAAGCTGGGGACACATCTGGGTATGGATCAATACCTATTAATACCATTTTTAATGGGATGAACATCCATTTACCAGCTATTTTGATGTTCACCAGGGGTACAAGGTTTTGACACACTGCCATCTGAGTGCAAACACTGCTGTTGATACTGAATCATGGGATTTTGTCGCAAGCCCCAAAGTCCGAAACGTTGGAAACCCCTGGAAGTTGGCAAAGCGTCATCGTTGTCAGATCCTGGAAAAAAGGGTTCTGCCTCTTTCGATCTTTTTGGGGGTTACTAGAAAAAACTCACAGGACCAATGAGGATTGTCATCATCGACAGGGAATCACCATCAACAAGTAGAAGGGAACGAGTCTGGGTGACTTTTTGGGCCGACAAAATTTATGGGCAACTCCTACGGGATGATTCCAGTGGGTTCCTTTTTGTGGGTCCGCGAATTTTTTACATCTCCAGTCTTCCTTTTCTATGGATAGTGGTAGGAAAAACTCTATCTGCTTGGTGGTTTCAAAGATCTTTTATTTTCAATTTCATATATGGGAATTTCATCATCCCAACTGATGAACTCATATTTTTCAGAGGAGTAGGTATACCACCAACCAGCTATGCATTTTACACCGGAAATCTTACGAAAGTAGTAGCACTGCGTCCGGGACTTTCTGCGAAGGGATAGCCCTTTCTAACGGAAAAAAACCCATTGAATGTACCGAAATTGTAGCATGGATTTTCCCATTGACCATTGCTTAAGGAACAAAAAACCCATGATTTTTCGTTCCCATTATAACATCAAATTGGATATCATTGGTCATAATTTGCCATGGTTTATCTGATTTTATCCTCATTTCTCCATCCAATCCACCTGAGGTGGCCTACATGAAGCAGGACCACTTGAAGACCCTAGGGCCATACTTCGACCCTTGGACAGCAACAGA